CAAATATTTTATTGAGAATTTTTGCATATATGTTCTTAAGGGAAATTGGTCTATAATTTTCTTTCTTGGGTTTTTGTGTGGTTTAGGTAGCAGGATAATTGTATCCTTGTAAAAAGAATTAGGCAATGTTTCTATTTTGTAGAATGATTTGAATAATATTGAGGTTAATTCTTCTTTGAAAGTCTTATAGAGTTCTGCACTGAATCCATCTGTCCATGGGCTTTTTTTTTTTAAAGAGACTTTAAATTACTGCTTCTATTTCATTATGGGTTATAGGTTTGTTTAAATTGCTTATCTGATCTTGATTTAACTTTGGGTGGTTTTATATATCAAAGAATTTATTTCTTTTTATGTTTTTCAGTTTGGTAGAATACATATTTTTAAAGTATGTCCTTAAAGTTCTCTGGACAGACTCAGTATCTGTTGTGAGATCCCTCTTTTCATCTCTAATTAATTTGTATCTTCCTCTCCATCTTTTAGTTAATTTGGCTAAGGGTTTACAGATCTGATTTTCTCAAAGAACCAACTCTTCATTTCAATGATTCTTTATATTGTTTTTTGTTTGTTTCTATTTTATTGATTTCAGCCCTGAGTTTACTATTTCTTGCTACTGACTCTTTTGGGGTGATATTTCTTCCTTTTGTTCTAGAGTTTTCAGGTGTGTTATTAAGTTATTGTGAGATCTCTCCATTTTCTGTAGGCACTTAGTGCTATCAACCAGCCTCTTAGAACCACCCTCACTGTGCCCCATATATTTGTATTTTCATTCAATTTTAAAAAGTTTTTTTTTACCTTTATAGCATGTCTTGACCTATTTTTCTTTTTTCTTTTTTGCAAGCTCAGTTTTTATTCATTTGTTTATTTTCCTTTTATTTTATTTTACAATACCATTCAGTTCTACATATCAGCCACAGATTCCCTTGTTCTCCCCCTTCCTGCCCCCCTCCCTTTCCCCCCAGCCCACTCCCCATTCCCACCTCCTCCAGGGCAAAGCCTCCCCTCAGCACTGAGATCAACCTGGTAGACTCAGTCCAGGCAGGTCCAGTCCCCTCCTTCCAGATTGAGCCAAGCGTCCCTACATAAGCTCCAGAATTCAAGCAGCCAACTCATGCAATGAGCACAGGACCTGGTACCACTGCCTAGATGCCTCTCAAACAGATCAAGCCAATCAACTGTCTCACCTATTCAGAGGGCCTGATCCAGTTGGGGGCTCCTCAGTCTTTGGTTCATAGTTCGTGTTTCCATTCGTTTGGCTATTTGTCCCTGTGCTTTATCCAACCTTGGTTTCAACAATTCTCGCTCATATAAACCCTCCTCTTTCTCACTAATTAGACTCCCGGCACTCCACCCCAGGGCCTAGCCGTGGATCTCTGCATCTGGATTCCCCAGTCCTTGGATGGGGTTTCTGGCACAATTATTAGGGTGTTTGGCCATCGCATCACCAGAGTAGGTCAGTTCCCGGCTGTCTCTCCACCATTGCCAGCAGTCTGTTGTGGGGGTATCTTTGTGGATTTCTGTGGGCCTCTTTAGCACTTTGTTTCATTCAGTAGAGAGTTGTTCAGTATCCATGAGTTTGTAAGCTTCCTGTTGTTTCTGTTGTTGTTGATATTCAGCTTTGATGTGTGGTGGTCTGATAGGTTGCAGGGTGTTATTTCAGTTTTCTTGTATCTTGTGTCCAACTATGTGGTCAGTTTTGTAGAAACAATTCCATGAACTGCTAGGAAGAAAGTATATTATTTTGTATTTAGGTGAAATGTTCTGTAATATCTACTAGGCCCATTTGATTTCTGATGTTATTTAACGCCAACATTTTTCTGTTTAGTCTGGGTAATTGGTCTCTTGACAAGAGTTGGGTATTGAAGTCACTCAGTATCCCTGTGTGAGGGCAATGTGTGATTTTAGCTGTAGTAGTGTTTCTTTTATGAACTTAGGTACCCTTGTGTTTAGTGCATAGATGTTTAGAATTGCAAAGATTTTTGGTGGATTTTTCTTTTGATGAGTATGTAATGTCTTTCCATATCTCTTTTGATTAGTTTTGGTTTGAATTCTTGTTAGATATTAAAATGGCTACACCTGATTGCTTCTTTGGTCCATTTGCTTAGAATAACTTTTTTATCCTCTTACCCTGAGGTGATGTCTATACTTGCTGGAGAGGTTTCTTGTATGCAGCAAAAGGATAGATCCTGTTTTTTAATCCATTATGTTACCCTGTGTCTTTTTATTGGGAAGTTGAGACCATTAATATTGAGAGTTATCAGTGAGCATTGTTTATTGATTCCTGTTTTGTTATGGTATGGGTCCCTGCCTTTTGAATTGCATAACTGGGATTATTTATTGTCTCTTTCTTGGGTGTCATTAACCTCTTCAGACTGAAGTTTTTCCTTCTAGTGTCTTCTGTTGTGCTGGATTTGTAAATTGATACTGCTTAAATTTGGTTTTATTGTTGAATGTATTTCGATTGTGATTATAGTTCTGCTGGATACAGTAGTCAGGTTTGTCATCTGCATGCCCTACTGGTTTTTAGAGTCCCCCTTGAGAAGTTAGGTGTTGTTCTAATAGGTCAGCCTTTATATGTTACTTAGGCTTTTCCTCTTGCTGCTTTGAATATTCTTTCTTTGTTCTTACATTCAGTGTTTTGATCCTTTGTTTTGTTTTGTTTTGTTTTGTTTTGTTTTGTTTTTCAAGACAGGTTTTCTCTGTGTAGTTTTGATGCCTGTCCTGGATCTCGCTCTGTAGACCAGGCTGGCCTTGAACTCACAGAGATTCGCCTGGCTCTGCCTCCAGAGTGCTGGGATTAAAGGCGTGCTACACCACCACCTGGCTCAGTGTTTTTATTCTTATGTGTTGTGGAGAACCTCTTTTCTAGCAATATTTGGTATTCTGTACATTTCTTGAACCTTGCTAGGCCCCTTCTTTAAGTCAGGGAAATTTTCTTCTATGATTTTGTTGAAAATGTTTTGTGCCTTTAACCTGAGTTTCTCTTCCTTTATTCTCAAGAGTCTTAGCTTTGTTCTTTCATAGTATCCCAGGTTCCCTGGATGTTTTGTGCCTGGGTTTTTTGTTTTTTTTCTTAATTTGACATTTGACAGAGGTATACTTTTCTTCTTGTTTCAACACCTGAGATTCTCTCTTCCATGACTTGTACTCTGTTGGCGAGGCTTACTTCTGAGGTTTTCATTTGACTTCCCATATTTTTCATTTGCAATTTTATCTTAGTTTGGGTTTTCTTTAGTGATTCTTTCATATCTTGAGTTCTTTTCTAAATTTCATCATTCTACTAGTTGTATTTTTATAGATGTTAAGATATTTATTCATATTCTCTTTCGGGTGCTTGAACATTCATAATTGCTATTTTGACGTCCTTGTCTTGTGCTTCAGCAATATTGCATTTCTGAGGGTCTTCTGTAGTAGGGCATTCTGGTTTATGGTAGAGGCATATTGTCTTGACTGTTAATATTTGTGATCTTATGCTGGTGTCTAGGCATCTGGGGTTGGGAGGATTGAGATGATTCTGGATGTTGACATCTGGTCCTGTCTTTGGTTGGTGGGTGTTTTGTCCCTTGGTTTCTATTGCTCTCTTGTGATCTTAGGGAATTGTTGCGGCAGTGGGTTGTCTTGAGACTGCTTCTGCGGGTCGGTGGGTAGCAGAGGGGAGGGGTTCCTGTGAACAGGCTGTTGTTGGGCTGAGGGTGCAAATGGAAGTACTCATGGAGGACAGGAAGGGCAGTGTGAATCACCTACTTGAATCCCTTCCAGGACGCACTGGAGGTTCCAGTTAGAAAGTGTTTCTAGGTAGTGGGGGCTGACAGAGAGAAATGGGTATGGGTTAGGAAGTGGGGCGGCGCTGAAGGGTTCTCGGGAAGGAGGAAAGCTTCTTTCACACCGAGGTTTGGCCGAGTCCCCAGAGAATGGTTGTGGGGGGGAAGGAGAGACACTTGCAAGGTTGCTACAGGGTGGGAGTGAGACCAGAGAGGCTGTAATGAAAGACAAGAGAGTGGCAATCGCCTACTTGAGTCCCAGCCTGGTGTGTCCACTTGGGGTCCCATGTAGAAAATGCCTCTGGCTAACAGTGGATAAGACAGAACGATGGGGAGAGTGTAAAGAGGGTCTGGGGAGGAGGGGAACTGTCTGCACAAGGTTCAGTGGAAACCCCAGTCAATCTGACTTGCTCTCTTGATGCTAGATATTCTGATGGGTTCGACAATCTCAATGCAGTTTTAATTTTCACGTCCCAGATGGCTATGGACATTTCTTCATCTATTTATTGGTCATCTGCATATTTCCTTTGAGAACCATCTATTCAGTGCACTTGCCCATTTGTTGATTTGTATAATTTTTGGACTTATTTAATAAAACCTGGATAATAATCTCCTGCCAGATATATAGTTCATAAAGATTTTCTCTTATTATGTAGGTTACCTCTCCATCTGCTGATTGTTTTCTTAGCTTTGAGGAAGGATGTTAATTTAATGCAATCCCATGTGTCAGTTCTGGGAATTCTTTCCCAAGCTATTGGAGTCTTTTCAGGAAGTCTTCATCAAGGCCTGTGCCTTAAAGTGTTTTACCCTAGCACTCTCAGAGTTTTGGGCCTTACATCAAGGTCTTTCGAAGTGTGTGTGTGTGTGTGTGTGTGTAGAGAGAGAGAGAGAGGAGAGGAGAGGAGAGAAGAGGAGAGGAGAGGAGAGAGCACTTAATTTAATCCTTATATATATGAATGTCCAGTTTATGTCGTTTTCTCAAAACCGTTTGTTTAAGAGGTTCTTTTCTCCACTGCACGTTTTTGCCAAAAAATTAGGTGGTTGTAACTATATGGGTCTATTTCTAGGTCTCTATTTTTTTTTTTTTTTTTTTTTTGGTTTTTCGAGACAGGGTTTCTCTGTGTAGCTTTGCGCCTTTCCTGGAACTCACTTGGTAGCCCAGGCTGGCCTCGAACTCACAGAGATCCACCTGGCTCTGCCTCCCGAGTGCTGGGATTAAAGGCGTGCGCCACCACCGTTTATGTGGCTATTTTTGTATTATCATGTGTTTTTGTTACTATGGCTCTGTAGTATAATTTGAGCTCAGGAATAGTGATAATTGCTCTTTCTGAGATTGCTTTGACTCTTTAGTCTTTTGTACTCCATAGAAATTTTAGTTATCTCTGTGCATAAGGCCATTGAAATTTTGTTGGAAATTTGAGTTTGTAGATCGCTTTTTATAATGTCATCATTTTCACAATATTAATTCCACTGATCTGTGAGGTTTTTCCAAGCTCTAGTGTCTTCTATTTCTCCCATCAGTGGGTTCAACTTTCCATTGTGGAGGTCTTTGACCTCTTTAGTTATTCCTAGGTATTATTTTTTAAGAACTATCATGAATGAGATTTTTTTTCTTGAATTGTCTCTCACAATCTTGTTATTTTATTGGTCTATAGCTCCTGATTCGTTATTTTGATTCTGTAGCCTGATACTTTCCTAGGATGTTTATCAGACCTGAGAGTTTTCTGGTGGGATTTTTAGGGCCTCATAAGCATATAATTGTGTCATGTGCAAATAAAAATACTTTGGATTTTTCCTTTTTTTTTTTTCTTGCTTTGTTGTGCTAGGACTGCAAGCACATTATTGCATAAGAGTCAATTCTTTGTGTTTTGATTGTGCAGGAAATGCTTTCAGATTTTCCTCATTTAATATACTACCATTAGGTATGTCTCATAGAGCTTTTATTATGTCACGGTATGTTCCTTTCTAGTTCTAGCTTTTTCAGGACTTTTACCACGAAATGATGTTGATTTCTATTTTCTCTTTTAAATGAGTTGAGTTAATTCAAGGTGGTACAGTATTCACAGTAGAGCCAAAATAGCAGGCTCTGGCAGGATTCCAGACTGAGTTTACTTTTACAGCTGAGGTAGGAATAGTTGCATGAAAGCTGGAGACAATGAGCCAGTGTGTGTGTGTGTGTGTGTGTGTGTGTGTGTGTGTGTGTGTGTGTGTGTGTAAACAAAAAAGTTTATTAAAATGTACAGCAGTCTCCAGGGCACTTTACTCTAACTGTAAGTGGCAAAAGTCATTATGGGAGAGAATATAGATGTTAAATAGGCACAGGAAAGTGTCACCATCACCTCAGGACAAGGAACAGCTTACCTTTAGCCAGGTTTCTTTATTCCAGCTATGGCCGGTCCCCTCCTTCTGTTCCTGTTTGTCTTCCTCTCCCATCTCCTTGGCCTGCTTCTTGGGCCATTTCAACAGCTTCTTTTTGCCACCTTCATGGCCCAACATGGCACTTGTGGCCCCTTCCCCAGGGGATGCTGAATACTGACAAAGGTTTTTCTGCATCCATTGAGGTGATCATGAAATTTCTGTCCTTAAGTCTTCTTATGTGTTCTATTACAGTTTTTGGTATGTGTAGGTTGAATCATCTGCATCCCTAGAATAAAACCAACTCGATCATGTATGAGCTCTTTAGTGTGTTGTTGACTTCAGTTTAAAATATTTTCTCTAAATCTGTTTTCAAGTAATATATTTATTAGTTTTTAATAGTTCTATAAATGTTTTGATCATATTTTCCCTATAATTTCATCAAATAGATTTCCTATATCTTTAGTTTGTTGTTGTTCTTTGATCAGTTCCCTCTACTTCGATTCTTGGGTTTTGTGTCTTGCTAAAATTCTAGAATTCTTCGAAGTTGAGGTTGCCTGCTCCATCTCCCACTTCTGATGCCCTGATGTGGTAGTTTCTCAATTTTGTCTTCCACCATTGATTTCTTTCTTCCATATGGCCCAGTCCATTGATTATACATTCTACTGTTTTTCTTGATTCATTGAGTTTTTCATTCCCAGCATATCCATTTGCTGCCCCCCCACCACACAAAATCTCAATTAATCATTGCTTAATTTCCACCCATAAGCCTGACTTTCTCATCTTTTTCTGCCTTTATTCTACAAGTCTTGAATTGATTTTTTTATTTCATTCATCTGCTTTTGTGTATTTTCTTTGAAGTCATTGATAAATTTTTGCAAGTAAACTTCTGAATTCTTTATCCATCATTTTACCCATGTCAGTATCTTTGGATTCTGCCACCAAGGAATTAGAGGAGTCACGTAGCCTTGCACATTCACATCTCTTGTGTTCATCTTCTGGTTTGCACATCTATTGGTTTGGACATCTCATTTGAAGACCTTCTTAGTGACAAGCCTGCTCTTCGGGACTCAACCCTTGGTGACATTCCTAAAAGAGAAAACAAACTGCTGTGACAGCATCAAACTGAATTATAAAAAAAAAGACAAAGAAAACTTATTAAATCTGACTCATATACCCCTGATGACCTTAGGCCAGAAATGTTTAAAGTAATGTCATGTGTGTTATGAAGGTTAAAAGTATACACAGTAACTAGAAAGTAGCAAATGAATGAAATAAAGGAAGGAGACAAGAAAAGAGCAAATGGAAGAAGCAGCAATACTAAAAGAAATGAAAAACAAAGATTGTTACAAGGTGGGGAGAAGCAGTAGAGTAAAAACAAACACGGATCCCCAATGGCGAAAAGAAGTATAATCAAAATTAATTAAGTGCGATGTGGTGGACCAGCCCCTACATTTATTTACCCCAGGGACTCTTGAGGAATGAGGAATAAGAGAATTACTTAGAAATCGAGGAGAGAAACAGAGAAACACAGGATAGACTCAAGTGGGCTTGGATCCTTATCCACTGGCCCAGAACTGTATTCCAAAGGTCTATTTATAACAATGCCAAGGGGTGGAGCAAAAGACCTCCCCCTTGCTAGTTACAGTCAAGTGTAGACCCTTACAAACACCTGATACTCAGGCCCGTGGTCCAACCTCTTATGCAGTCCTGCTGGGTACAGCCACTAGGAAACCTAGATAGCTACAACAGGTCCCTCTTCTTTATATTTTAAAAGAAAAAACTTGGGCTGGAGAGATGGCTCAGTGGTTAAGAGCACCGACTGCTCTTCCAGAGGTCCTGAGTTCAATTCCCAGCAACCACATGGTGGCTCACAACCATCTGTAATGAGATCTGGCGCCCTCTTCTGTATACATAATAAATAAATAAATCTTTAAAAAAAAAAAGAAAAAAGAAAAAACTCTTGATGCAAATGCATCAAACTTTAAGACTCCCTTAGCTTCATCATTACTATTAACAGGTTAACATAATTCTAACATAAATATTGCTATACATAGTTACAATTCTCTCACTCTTACATCTTAAAGAAAACTCTTAATAGAACCATTTGAATTTTTTGCTAACAAAACATAGGATACACAATTATAATTCCTACAAACCTACTCTCAAACTTACATAATTATAATTTTTACAAACCTACTCTCAACCTACAAATCTACATTGCCTAAAGCTTATGCTACCCTAAACCTATATTTCTCAAACTAAATTTATGACTTATTTAAACATATTCTATAGGACTCTTTTATAAACCTTAACTAAGACTCTCTTCACTTAAGCCTATATAATAAACTTACATTCTATAGGTCTACTTTATAAACCTTACCTAAGTCTTACTTAAACCTTAACATCTAGAAGAAACCTAAGTCTACAACTAGCATCTTCACTTCTTACAGGCTTATTATAGGACTACGTTAGACATTCTTAAAGAAGCTCTATAGGACTACCTTAGCAAAGATACTTCTTATATTCATAAATTTTATAGGACTACCTTATTTAAACTTACATCATGGCCATTTACTACATGTCTTATTTCTTACACGCTTATTAGAGCTACATGTCTTAAAGAAATTCTATAGATCTATTACATAGCTAACTTAACATCTACATTATTTTCCAACAAGACAGAGAGTAATTTTCTACTTTAGAAAGACTCTCTTAACAAGACATGAAGTACACAAATCATTTCTAAAGTTCACAGTTTATAGTAAAGTTCAGAGTTTATAGTCAGCTTTGATATTATTCTAAAAGGTTTTGAGAGTTTGAAACAAGAGTCTTATTTGGCAATGGCTCTTCTAAAGCTGGGATTCAGTGAGTTCTGTTGCTATGGAATTGTAACACTTGTTGCTAGGGAGCTGTAACATTCTCAGGACAAATACCACTCCTCACAGTCACTTTTCTCACCGCTGACCTCTCAGCCATCCCAGAACTGGAAGAAATGTGCTCTCAGCAGTAAACGGTTTCTAACTAGAGGCTGTCCCTTTACAGAAATTCATAACAGCTCCCCTGTAAGTGCTTCAATTCAAATGTTTCTGTTCCAGCAGTACTTTTGGTTTGATCTACCAAAAAGCTTTGCTTCAGACTGAGGGTGAAATTACTGTATTGAACCTCCATAAAGCTCTTAGCAAAAACTCCTTGAGCAACTATTAGATGATATAAGTGACTGTTTCAAACCTGCATTGATACTACATTTCCCAGAAAGCCTTTCGGGTACACTAGCAAACTTTCTGGTTCCCTATATAGGGTTTCACTTTTGCAATGGGAGATTTTTCTTCCCTAAACTTGGGTTAGGATGCCTGCACACACACACACACACACACACACACACACACACACACACACACACAC